GCATTGTCGAGCGACTTGTTCCCGAAGCCGTTGCGTCAGCGCTAGTGCGCGACAGCACCGCGGACAATAGGCATGCTGTAGCGAATAGAATGAAAGCTTCTTTACTCGGACTCATCTATAGGCGTGAGCGACGTCCGTTTTGTTTGCATTCTTTATTGCGATGTCGTGTTGGATCACACTGTATACTGACGTTCTTCCGGCAGACTTGATAATAAATGGTTTAAGTTCCCATGCTGTACCTTTGCTTCGTTTGCTTTCCCAAACGCTCTTCAGGGACTCTCTTCGCTGCCAACTGCGCTCTTGTCTTGTTGCACGTCTGACCCTCCTGCATCTCAATCGTGTTCACTTTATTTTCCAATGGATTGCAAACTGATCAATGAACTTTAGCGAGCTTGTTTGTCCCACCATGTGTGGGCGCTTTGTAAATACCTATATGTTTTGTTCTGTATCATTATCTTACGCACCTTTCAATTTCTATTTTACAAACTTTGCGTTCTTTTTTTTACATATTTATGAAAACAGCCAGCTCAAAAGTTCTTTCCTCCTTCCTTCAATATAAAAAAATAGACTTGTCGACATCTAGTATCAAAATTAATTCGAGGGCAAAAATTGAGGGTGAAGAAGGCATGAAAATTTAAATTTTATTATACTTTGAATCATTCACATCGTATCTGTAGAAAATATATTCAGGAGACTTATAGGCAGTAGAGGAGAGTGGGGGAATATGAACCCTGCGAGTAAGATGGATCACCTATTATTTATGAAGATTCAGGCCGCCGAGGTTGTTTTTACTATGTTCATTAGTTACTCCACACCGTATTCCATAATATTTTAATCATCTTCTGGGTTCTAACATTTTTATAGGCTTTTGAAATTTTTGCATTATTCGTCACCATTGTTTTTTAATTATTATTCCACCTACATAACATATGTGTAAGCTATTTATTCAATTTCGATATTTTTTCCTTACTTTATTCAGTTACTGATAAATCAATACCGTATTTTCAAAATTATTTTTCATCGATATGAAGCTTTTCTATACTTTTTTAAGTAAAAAAATATTTTCAGTGAAGTACGGACTACCAATGCTTTAGGTAATGTGGGTCGCCAAAAAAATTCATTACATTCAATTGTACTATATTTCTTTGCTTCATTAAGTCCTTTGCACTTCAAATTACAAGGGTAATTCAAAATGAGGGCAAGTGCAGACCGCTACTAACTTTTATCACGTCACGATTGTCTGGGAGTTGGCAACACTTTCTGTAACCATTTCTACCTTCCCTCAATAACTTTGTTGATATTAATACTTTTTGATACAGAAAATCGATTTTTCGAGGATGTCAAACTTAAAACTCGTCAGTTATTTTGTTATTAACTATGTAATTACTTAAATGCAAGTAACTTTTTATTTATCTATAACACACGGCAAAGTTCCAATGAAAAAAATTGAGTGGAATTTTCAATTTAAACGTTTTCCATTTTTAATTAAAAAAATATTAATTAAATGCAAAGCTACATACAAATTAGTGCAAAAATAATGTAAATACACTCTTTTTCCATTAGATCGTTTATATCTCGGCTTCCAATAATGCAACTTAAATGTTTAATCTTTAAGAAAATACTTTGTTTTTCAAAACGAGCTAACTCGTGTATCATTTAAATAATTTAGAGCAATATTACAGCTCTCGAAAGTTGAATATTTAATTGCAAAATAGTAATATCAATTGCTTAGAAGACTTTTTAGCTATAAACACCAAGCAATATCATATATACCATAATATCGTGTTATTCTACATCACAAAATAAAAATTTTGATGCCTCTAAGATGAACGTTGTAAAAATATTATATAGCCGTTTTTCATGCGCGGTCGCATAATAAGCGCAACGGCCGCATACGACGCGACGCGCTGTGCCGCGCCATGTCATGTGCGTAAGTAGCTAATTCACTCAGTTAATGTTGTATATATTTTTTATGCATTCAATAAGGTGATTTAGTAATAAATTATTAGTTTTAGTGATTGCTTGTATATTTTTTCTAAAATACAATTCAGTTAATTATATAGATGCCAAAGTAGAGTGAAAAAAATTCAATATTATAGTTATAGATATCGATTAACGCTGTTCTCACAACTACTGGTTCTATCACAGATAAAAAGAAATAGACGATACTGTAAGAAACATTTATTTTGGGTGATCTGTATTACCCCTATCTTTAAAAAAACTCATTTTCGGTTCTTTTTATAAAATAAAAGTTTTCGATCTTTCAAAATGTTTTAGAAAAAAAATGAATCACTGGATTTGAAATTAGAAGATTTGCAAATGCGATTGCCTATTTCAAAAATTTTTAAAAGTGTTTACTAATTAAATGGCTTGCGAAAAGTCTAGATGATTCATGTTCCTTCACTTTCCTCTACCTGGAAACCCGCCTTAAGCTTTAACCAATGGCTGGACCTCAATTTTACATCTTGACTTGTTCGGAAAAGCCCGAAATTTCAGAAACCGGAATTCTCAACACAGCGCCTCTGGTCATCAACGAAAAAAGGTTTCCTCAGTACGGATAACAGATAACAGAGTCCGTGAGAGTTATAACCGATTTGTGCTTCCCTTTCGCTGCGTTAAATTGAACATCCACAACAAGGTTCTAAAGATAAGGGCCTTTCCTCTTTCCTTCCTCTTGGAAAATCGTAAGATTTTTTATTCTCTTTACGCCCCAGTGTCGCGAATCGAAGTTTCTGCTCGTTGTCTGTTTGCGTTGTGTTACGAGAAGCACGTTCGCCTTCACTACGTACGCGTGCATGTACGTATTTTGTCATCGCATTTGGCGCACAACTTGTGTCGCATCGTTAACTACGTGAACGATATATTCATGTGAAGCATATTTTACGTGTGCGCAACTCTGCGACGTCGACTCTGCGGCCAGCGATGCTTCGACAAGGATTATGCGAGGGTATGCATGGTATATCTTGTGAAGTGCCTTCAGGTCTCCGACATTACTGTCCAAACGGCAACAGATCAGTCCCTCTCGATCCAGGAACCACGTAGTTACGAACTATGCCCACGTCTAACCAATTAGTACTGTGTTTGTTTCCGGAGATATTTTCCTTCTCGCAGTTGCAATACAGCCGGCGTCTTGGCAGGCGAGTAGCTAGACAGACGTCTAGAATGGCCATTCAAACTTCTTCCGTTGTGAAGGCAAAACGAGCCTCACCTTGTGTATGACAGTTACTATTTATCTGCGTGGAGATCGCTTTGCGCGTTAGTTAAGTACATACTTTCCGATATATCTTAAAGTAACTAAAAGTTCATTGATCTTTGTCAAATGACAAAAGCCAATTGCATTTTTATTGAACGGTAAATATCGATGTTCGTAATGTTTTTTAAATTGCATCATTTGTTTTTGCACATGGAGAAACATACAACTTGATAGCCAGGTTATCTAGTTATAAAAGAATAGTAGAGTAGGGGTCAGCTATAAGTTTAGTGTGATAGTAGCAGCGATATGCGAAGGCAAGTTTGGCGAGGAAAATCGGGCGGTCGATGGCCACCGCAAAAGCCACAGCATCACCACACGCGCGCACTTTCTCGCGACGACGAGTCTTGCACAATGACATGACCACACTCCCCCTGTTGATGTCCAACGACGCGCCTTCATACATGTATATATGTGGCCAGAAAATTGAGCCGCCGATTATCGACCTCTCGACTCGAAAACGCGACGCGACGACGTCACACAATTGTGTCGATGACGGCAAACAGGTGGCTCTTGTCTTTTTCCGTATACTGCGCAACCACCCCACCACCCCTTTTGTTTCGTCCTCTTTCTATCCTAGCTATGTGCGACTATTCCATTTACAAGTTGCGTTCTATACCGAGAACTTCCAATACGCGCTTGATTGTATTATTATTGATTTTTTTTTCTCGTTACTTCGCTTATTTTTTGTTCTATTCTCGATTTCGTCATTAAAAAAGACTTGCCGAGTTTCTATGAACGTTAGCGACAATAATTGACAGAGTTTTGTTTTTTTACGAGATGTGCCTAGCTGCAATTGTTTTGTAATCAACGTATAAGATAACAAATCCAATACTTATGTTTGCTCTCAATTTGTCTGTTGACAAAGGCAGTACCCCGCTGTTCACTTCATATGGAATGCAAATACCCACGTATAAGCTAGAAAATGTGCTTCTTAACTGAAAAACGTTCGCACGTATCGTAGAAGGGGGTGTAGACCGTGACAAATAGAATCTCATACATATCAATGGCTATATCAAATAAAATACATCTTAGGGCGTATGTAAGAGGTAAATCGAACCATTTGACAAGTGGAGGCGTATTAAATAATTGAGAATGGGGAGTGGGATGAATCGGGCAGTTGTTTGTGTTGGAGAATTGAAAAAAGAAGCAAGTTGTTCCGGGCCATAAAAAGGAAAAATATACAGGGTCTGCCTATTTTATTTTTATTGCCGCAGCTAGCTATACATTGGCAGAAGTAGCTTTTACGATTTGAGGAAAGTGCCATAGACCCGAACAAAGCAGTGGCAGTATAGAGATTGCGCGCGGAATCGAAATGATAAAAACATTGTCGAGCGAGCGAGAAAAGGAGAGAACAGAGATTGCAGTTTCTGTTAAGAGGCTTGCGCCATCTTGGAGGCTAAGTAAATACGAAAAATAGTGGCACGTCTCGCGCGTGTCAAGAATTTACGAGGCGAGCCAAGCGGAATGACCGACCTGCCTGTCGTTGCATATTTGCTTTCTTTTGAGTAATACGTAGAGTAGAGAGATATTTTGCTGTAAGACTCTTGCTCACTGAACCTTTGTTAAAACTAATAAGCTCTGAATTTTGCTCTTTGCATCGAAGACAAAAACTACCTTCGAATTGCAGCTTCATACGCTCGCGAATGACTTGCGTTTCAGCAAGTTTTATTGCAAAAGAGCTCTTGGGCTACGCAAAGGGAAGAACAACTACACACGTAAAAATAAGGTCGGTGTGTTTTTGTTGCAGCAATACCGGCACACACACATACACACACAAAAATGGGCTGCTTCGGGAGCAAGGACAAGCTAAGCAAAGAAGACATGGACTTCCTAAAGTCCCACACGAGATACGACGAGGCCACCATCAAAGAATGGTACAAAGGATTCAAAGTAAGTCACACCCGTTATTTCTTTTGTACTAGATTCACTTCTTTTCTCCTCGAATGCGCCAGAGGCTTATACCGGCTGCTGCAATCAGACCAAACAATTTAAAATCATTCCAAATTTATAACTCGCGCTACGCTTGATAAGTATTCTCGTCTGGCAGGGTCGTGTTTTATTGAGTTATTATAAAGAAAAAGAAAAATAAGAAACAGCGAAAATGAAGGTAAAAAAAATTCATCGGAAAGGCACAATTGGCAGTCAGTGATAAGTACAATGCGCAGAAAAAAAGAGAGCACCTGAAAACAAAGTAGAACAAATCACCGAAAAAAAAAGTTAGGCAAACCGAGCGAACATAACGTGAGCTGCTGCGAAATCGCGTTGGTGCTAGGTAAACAGAGGAAGGGATGGGAGGCTTAGAGAGCGGGGATGGCGCTTTTACATTTGGCGTGGCACGCAGAGCTGTTATTGTAGCGGAGCGGGCAAAGTGGGACGAGCTGGCATTCAAGTGCTTTCAGAGCACATAGCTATCTTCCTTACAGCTCTTTTTCTCTCCGCATAGCTTGCGACTGTCTTTTTTCGATTTTTCTTCCTGCGTACTCTCCGAAGACTATCTCCATCTGCGTAAACTTGTCTCTTTATCGGATCCCCCCCTCCTTCCGCCTCCTTCTTTCCCTACACTTTTCGACTCGCTGCGCGAGCTTGCTTATCTTAATGTCCAGCAATGCTGCCGCCTGATGGAACGCAAATGAATTTGCAATATTACAGCTCGCCTTCTTTCTTCGCTCTTTCTCCTTTCTATCCTCCTCTCGTCATTGCAGCCTTTATCACCCTTCCCCCTATTTTTCACAAATACTTTTCCCTACAATATCACGAAAATAACCAGAGTCAGTGCACATTGTTGCAGCTGCAGATGCGTTGCCTTGTAACTCTCCACCCGTGTAACACATTGTTCTGCCCGCGCGCTATTCTTACTCGAAAACAATGCCGATTCAAACATTGTTTTTTTCGCATTATTAATATAACTTTGACTATTGTGCAGCAGCGAGGTCACCATTCTGCAACTTTCAAAAGTTCCAACTGTAATACCTCCTCTCTCGTCATGCCGTTTTGATAAGATTATTAGGGATTTTACCAGATTAAATAACATTCATTTGTTTGTTTGTTTTCGTTCAATTTCACGTACAAGTATTCATATTAAGCTTTAAACTTAAAAAAAAGCATGTGTTTTTGATGGTCTCTTTTTCTTAATAAAATATGAAATGGTTTTCAAGAGAAGTATGTACATCCTGTTGAGTTTTGTGTATAAATAATGACTTTTAAGTCCCTCGATGAGGATAGAAAATATACGGATGAAAGCATATTATTATTATTATTCTTGATACTCTCCTTTTATAAGCAAAAAGTTACGCCTAATACATAGAGTTAAAAGTTAAAGAGTATGGGTGATAAAAACATCACTACTTCGACAATTTCATAATCAAATCTTCGTAACGTGACTAATGGTATATATTGTTATAGCGACACTTAACCACGTTCGTGAAATCTGTGAGAGTTAACGATTACATACGTACATCTATACTGACTGAAGAACTCAATTTCTAGGATCGCAGCGGCTTCTCCTAACTCATGCTGTACATTGCAAAAGAGCGTAAATAGTACGTTCTATAGAGGTGACTCTCATTCGTCAATGTCACCGCTTTATTCGCGGAGTTTAATGTACAGAATTAAAAGCTATACACGACATTGGAATTTAATCTGTGACAACGTTGACATAATTGCAAGCGAGGCATAGTGTAAATAAGGTTACGAAAGTAGACGATTGGTACGCTGAGGTTGTTTGCAAAATAATTCTGTTGCAGGTTTCAGGTAGGGTGGCACCTACGAAATTACACGGCTAATGCATTGGATAAAGTGAGAAAATTTACTTTATCCTTGGCCAACCAGCTGCGAGTATCTGGCTGGATGGTTTAATCTTGTGAAAAGACGACTCCATCCCTGCTCAGTTTCCCGCGTACTTTCGCTCGAGGAAACCTCTTCCAACTCTCTAACGTGAGAGCAGATGCCGGAGGAACACCACCACTTTGACTTTTCAGCTTCTCACACATACATACGTATGTGCGCGTGTAAAGTCAAATAACATTTCACGAAGAACTTGTTTTCGAAAATGTCACTTCCTGCTTTCCAATTCAATGCTTCTACATGTTGATATTTCCTTCGAGTTGACATTACAAATAAACGCGACTGTATAGTTCAATGAGACGTTATTCTTTTCTCAGCGTAAATTTTGCGTTTATTGAGAAACGCAAGTTCGTTAGAAATTTTTCATAAAAAATGACTACAAACTCGTTTACGTAAGGTTATGTAGTTCGTCGCAGAACAGCGATTACGCAAGCATTTAATCATCCAACTTGACCCCGAGGCACCCTTGTCACTGTCACTCCGAAGCACAAAAGTTTCTCCATTCGCCGAGAGACAGCACAAGCTACGGCAATATTTGCACTCGGACGCGCTCAATGAAATTTATTTACAACGAACATCTATTCCCCTTGGCGATCATCGACAGCATAACGTACGTACACCTACGAGTTACAAGTAAAGCCATCTCGCTGCAACCTTTAATTCTTTCCTCCTCGTTATCAACGTGCCATTACGTTGTCTATGAGCGCACAGAAGACTCATGCGTCAACACAATTTCGCAAGCAAGTCTAAAAATAACGTGTCACAATAAGCACTTCAAACTCAATTAATCGGTTTTCCATCGTATTGATTCGCTTGTGTATTGATCAGCAGTTTTTCAGTTTTCAATCACTTATTTAAATAGATTGCATACATTTATACGTACAATTATTACTTTTTGCTTTACTAAGAATTCAAATGTGAAAACTGATAAGCAATTATGTCATGAATATTGTTCACTCACACTCACGCAATATTATAAATAACACGACAATTTGTGGACACGTTTGCATCAGCCGCTAAGTGCGAGTCATCAACCACAGAGCGCGATTCACCAAGTGAATGATCTATCTATCAAAGAGGATCAAATCAGAAGTTGTAAGGTTTAAGGTATCTGCTTAATGTTGTTAACTAGAATTTTGAGTAGCACCAAGAGTAATACCATACCGGCAGCGTCGGTAATAGTAACCTTAGCAGTAATTTGTGGAAGTTTTTCCAGCTTCTCGTCTGGAAAAGTAGTCGCATCAGTGAGCGCGCTATTTTTCCAGACACGGTGACAGATCCTTGCGGTTATCGCGTTAGTTACGGTGCAAAGCGCACATGAAATCGCCATGCGCGTTTCGCGTACGAAACTTCGAAAAACAGAGTAAGCGAGTCTATCTCGTATCGATCACCAGATTCACCTAACAAACAGTTGAAGAGAACAATAAAATCACCTAGCAACTCTTATTGTTTTTAACGCGTTTGATATCTGAGGAGCAACTTATAACAATATTATATCTCATCTCGTCTTTTTCTTAGGACTGGAAAATTATAAAAATACTAATGCCTAGCAACTAAATTTACTCAAATCAAACTCAATAGCTTCATCAAATACTTGTTATGATTATATCGTTATCACAGCAAACAACTGTTCAAATAATAGCTGGCACTAAGTTGACGCTTAGAAACTCAGTGTTCTCTGGATTTTCGCCCAGTTTATTTGAAAATGAGATTCAAACGAAGAAATATTCTTCAACTGGTTTTAGTTTTTATTATCGTTGCACTTTTAGTTAAAATACTCAGCGTAGCAAGGAAACTACATAAAAATCATCACGCCATCGCTTACCCTTACAACGATAGGTATGATTCAGCAGAGTGTTTACTTCGATTTAGTTCGGATTATATTGTATTAATATTGATAAAGGTATGAGAAGTTGTTGCACAAACAATCAAGTGGTGCATTACCAAGCAACGGTGATTTAGGAAAGCCGGTATATTTATCAGAAAATGAAACGTTGAGCGCAAAGAAGATATTCGAAAAAAAGGCAATCAATCTATTGGTGTCTCAGAAAATACCATTGCAAAGAAAGTTGCCTGACGTGAGAAACCCTTTGTAAGTAATGTCGTCGAAAAGAGATTTCCCATTATATTTTCATTCGTACTATAACAACATTTTAGATGCAAAGATGTGAATTACGACACGATTTTATCTACAGTCAGCGTAGTTATAATTTTCTACAATGAAGCTTGGAGTGTACTTTTACGAACTGTATATAGTATTTTAAATGAAACCTCCCCGAATCATCTGAAAGAAATTATTTTGGTGGATGACGCTAGTGACGAAGGTATATAGAATATTTTTCATCGACGTTTACCGTTCTATTATTTACTACTATGAGCTTTTCACTTTGCCAATTGACAGAGGACTTGAAGGGTTTACTAGACTATTACATTCGTACGCGTTTAGCAAACAAAGTAAGATTATTACGTTTACACGGGCGTCAAGGCTTGATCAAAGCGCGTTTGGAAGGCGCGAGAAACGCAACTGGTGATGTATTGTTCTTCCTCGATGCTCACTGCGAAGTTACAAAAGGCTGGTAAATTTTCATTCCTCTCAATTGTGCTGGATAATATTGCCAATATATATTTCTTTTTGTCGTAAAGTCATCGGAAACACGAATATTTTAGGTTACCTCCCTTGCTGCAAAGAATAAAAGAGAACCGTAACGTCGTTGCTATTCCGATAATTGACGAAATATCGGAAAAAACTTTAGCATACGAACATAACGCACGGACGACCTTTTTCGTTGGTGGATTTATGTGGCAAGGAGATTTCATTTGGATGGAAATGCAAGAAAGTGAAATTCGATCACGAACATCTGCGATTTCTCCAATAAAAACACCAACCATGGCTGGAGGGCTGTTTGCCATTGACAGAAAATACTTTTGGGAGGTTGGCAGTTACGATAATAAAATGAACGGTTGGGGTGGCGAAAATCTAGAGATATCGTTCAGAGTAAGTTTCGTAAACAAACGACTCATGTATATTATGTGATTACGAAATTTAA